AATATATTTTTACTTGCGTTTTTACATTTTGTTTTCATGCTTGTTATTTTTTTATCCGTGACTGCAATACTTTAGCCGGGAATCTGATCCCATAGTTTTGTTCACTGTAATGGATTTAAGATAATAAACAGGTAAGATTTTAAAACACTTTCTTCTCAAATTACATTTTATATCCTTGTCTTTATTTATGTGGTAAAAAGTTGTGTAATTAGTGATACAACTATACATTATGCCTTAAATGTCTTGTCTGAACAAAGCTGTTTGTTAGGAACTGATTTTCTTTGCGGAAGCTTTGCATTTAAAGAGATAATAAAACATTTAAACTCAAATCAATACGGATGTTCCAAATCCCTTACTTAATTAACTTAAAGTTGCAATGTGTATCATTTTTGAGAATCTGTTTACAGAAATGCAATGTAACATACAAAACTATGTTTTCAGTGGTGTATAAATACCTTACAAAATTCACCGTTATGTTTTAATTACCTTAGAATAAGCCATTTCTATCTATATACAACGCGGTTCCCCCTCCATGGTTAAGTCACCATTTTGTGCCGCCATGTTTCTACAGTAGCCCTAAATGAACAAACTACTCTACAGAGCATGTTTCATCACTGTTGTTCTTCTTAGTTTCTTCCTCGTGTTTTTAGTAGGGGTGCTCCGATTTATTGGCTACCGATCACTATAGGCCGATAATCACATTGGGATGATTGATCGGCGGTCTCTAAAAGGCCGATCTCAAAAAAACGATCTCAAGCTGATGACGCTGCCGTGAGAGGTTTGGCACGACATGCAGCGGCACCATCTCAGTCTCTGTCCGGCACGGGTGAAATAATTATAATGCTGAAGGTGAGGTACTCGGGGGCGGGTGAAATAATTATAATTCTGAAGGTGAGGTCCTCATTTTCATATTTTTTCATTAAATAACTTATAAAGTAATTTGAAAACCTTGTGTGAGACGTAATTTCACAAACAGCGTGACTGAATCACCGCACGCGCTCTCTCTTTCTCTCTCAATACGCAGTTGGCTTCAAATCACCACGAGCTGCACGCTGCACAGTTGACACAGGAATTGTCACTTGCACAGTCGAGGCAGTGTCACATCATCACTAAAGTTTATAAATTGCATTTCTTTTTAATTTTTGCCAGTGTTTAACCATTCAGCGCTAGTGCGCTCTCCTGGAGACTGAGCGCTCATGCACACTGGCAGCGCACACACATAATGCCAAGTTCACACACACTCCGTTTGCAGTGCATATGCGGTGCGTATTTTTTCACCGCTCATGTTAACGGATTAATAAAGCGTTCACTGCACACGGTTACGGTCCAGCAGTGCGTTCCAGTAGCGGCGCGTCTTCAGCAGTGCAGAGATCGTTTCCACACCGAGTCTATGTTTGCTGCGCTGCAAGCGCTGAATTAAAGTAACAGCGCATTGTTTGCAGTAAATATGAACATGGATTGACACGAAAATGTAGTAATTACACCATAAATGCATATTATTAAAGTCTACTGTGTTTCACAGTCAACACATATGGCTTGTTGTCTAGTTTTAAAGGAAAAGAGCACTTTTAGATAAACAAGGCAATAAGAGATGGCACTAGTGGAGGTAGGAAAACCAAGTTCTTTATGAACCGCGGGATTGCTTGTAATAAAGATTTCAATGCAAAGGAAAAGGCAGTAGAGCTGACTATTTCTGTCAATGGTAAGTTTGTGATAACGTAAGAAAAGTAGTTTAAATGTTTTGCCAATTGCTTGAGCAACTTAATATATAAATCTAGAAGTAAATGCAAAAGTAAAAAGCATTGAATAATGTGTTGCTTATATTTATTGTGTTTAAACATGCCTGTTAAAGATTGTATTTCTGTACTGTGTAAAAAAAGAATAGCAATGCTGAAAAAGCATTTCCAGTGACAATGTTTGGATTTGAAATCAAAATAATAGATAAATGTTGTGTTTGTGGTAAACAGCCA